CCAGCCTCCCAGCGGGATCGGGCAGCCAGAATGAGGCCGCGACGCTTCTGCGGCGCGGAACGACATGCGCTCGGCAACGTAGAGGCACGCTATTCAGCCCGCGAGGGCACCGCATCAACAGTGCGCATCGCGCGTCTGGCAACCCTGACGCAGGGCATCTGAACCGCTAGCGGTCCCACTGCGTCATGTGCCGCTGCGGCGCGATTTCGGGCGAAGGGGGGCAGTGGTGGCATTGCCCCGAGATTTTCGCGTTCTCGAAGAAAGGCCGCGGGGCCCACCTCAAAATAGCGCTTTCCAGAAAACGCGCGGGGTGGCATCTTCTGGGAGACTTGGAACTGTCTGTCGAAGATGGTAACGCGCTGCGCCCTGGGGCGTTGTGATGTCTCACCAAAGGTCGGCGAGCGTCTCCCGCGGCATTTTGAAATCGCAGAGGTCGCCGCGGGAGCATATCTGGAGCATTCCGGAATTCCGCAAACGGCAGGGGAATCTGTTTGGAGCCTTCTCAGAATTCGCGAATTGCAGTAGCGCGTCTTTGGGGTATTTCTGAAATTCGCAAATGGCACTGGCACGTCCTTGAAGCAGTCTGAAATTTCGCAGAAGGTACCGGGGCACCTTTGGAATATTGGAACATTTTCAAACATAGGAAATCTACGGGGGGGAAGTGCGTGAGTATTTGAAACCTGCGGGATGTATTGTCCGAGCGTGTTGCGCGCGCGTCGTGCTTGAAATCCTCCACTGGCGCATTTTGCATGGTCGGCACGCGCGCGATATCCTGCGCTGGAGTGTTTTGTTAACTCTCGAGGCATGCCAGACACTCGCTCCGGGCGTCCTAGGCGCTGCTGCTGCGCCGGCGACGACGCCTGTCTGCGCTCTGGATGCCCCGACGGCGCCGGCGATGATGGGGCGCGCCGCAGGCTCCCTGTCCTGATCTTCAACGCGCGCACTGGGCCCGCCGATCCCTGCACGCGAGTATATGTATATAGACGCGCACATGCATGCAAGAAGGCGCGCTGCACTGCCCGGTCTAGCGCGCCATATACTCAACCTCGCGCGATCCGCGCGACCACCTCAACAACCCAATGGATAAAGATCAATGTTGCTGCGTTTGAACTGATACGCAACAGTGCACACGTAGCCCTCACCGTACTTTGCCCCAGCGCGCGCCCAATTGCATCTTTATCTAGTCTCCCACACTACAAGCAGCACATGCAAGCCTCTTTTTTTTTCCTACCTAGGCTCTGCCTAGATGGGTTCTTACTCGGTTGGCTTGAAAGGCCGGGCAGCGGGCCTCGCCCCAGGCGGCTCACCCAGGATCCGCCCCGCGGTTCCCCGGGCATCCGCCCCGCTTAGCTTAGCTTAGCTTAGCGTAGCCTAGCTCTTAGCTTAGCCTAGCCTAGCCTAGCCTAGCTTAGCTTAGCTTAGCTTGGCTTAGCTTACCTTTAGCCCAGCCTAGCTTAGCTTAGCTACCTTAGCTTAGCTTAGCTTAGCTTTAGCTTAGCTTTAGCTTAGCTTAGCTTAGCTTTAGCTTGGCCCAGCTTACCTTAGCTTAGTAGAGCTAAGCTTATATCATATTAGCTTAGCTTAGCCTAGCCTAGCTTAGCTCAGCTTAACTTAGCTTGCCTTAGCTTAGTTGAGCTAAGCTTATCTCATCTTAGCTTAGCCTAGCCTAGCCTCGCTTAGCTTAACCTAGTTTACCTTACATTTCGCTTGCCTTAGCTTAGCTTAGCTCAGCCCAGCCTATCTTAGCTTAGCTTTGCGTATCTCATCATATCTTAGGTTAGCTTCGATGAGCCTGGCCTAGCTTAGCTTAGCCGAACCTAGCCTAGCCTAGCTTAGCTTAGCGTGTCTCACCTTAGCTTAGCTTAGCTTAGCTCAACTGAGCTTAGCTTAGCTTGCCTTAGCTTAGCTCAGCTTAGCTTAGCTTAGCTTATATCATCATCTTAGTGTAGCTTAGCTGAGCTTAACTTAGCTTAGCCTAGCCAAGCCTAGTTTAGCTTCGCATAACCTAGCTTAGCTTATCTGAATTTAGTTTAGTTTAGTTTAGCTGAGTTGTCTTAGCTTAGCCTAGCTTAGCTTAGCTTAGCTTATGCTGCTTCCCTAGGGGCTCCAACTCCTAAGTAGGGTCGCACTGGGATAAGCTCTTATACAAGAACTGGTGACTCTCTATATGACGTGTCTACGCCGACTCCAACTCTGCCCTATCCCGAACCGGCTCTGACCTTACCCTGCGCCCAATCGCAGTCAACCTGACGCGCGGACAACCTCCAGTCCACGCGCGTCATCGCCAAGATGACCGCGCCGGTGAAGCTCGGCTGGGCGTCCGTCCCGTGTAGGGGGCCCCCACTGAATCGCCTCGCTGCTGGACGCGTCGCCTGTCGCCCATCCTGGTTGCGTTATGAAGGTTGGGCCCATTCACAATTGGGCTTGCGTGGTTCAAGCTGGCGAGGCGCCGCGTGCTGCAGCGCGCCTGCCAGACTCAGCTCCTCAAGGTGACGACGGCCGGCAGCCGAAGCTGGAAGCAAGTGATGGGCCAGCTGGGGCACTCGCTCGGTCCGCGCAGCACCTCGGGTGGACTGGCTCGTCGGCCTTTGCCCTCCAGGACTACGAGGCGGTAGAATTGTCTACCTGGGCACTGCGGGGCGACGCCATGCCCGAGGTGCCTGGCCCGTCTCACAACGATGCTGCTGGCATCTGGTTGCCACTCCCTCGGAAGGGCCCCTAAATGCTTTGGCGAAGACCAAGAAGTGGGCCCTCGATCCCATCGCGCGCGCTGCTCTCCGGACGGCAGCCATTGGGGGCCACTTCTCCCATCGGCGCCTACACAGGTACGCCTCAGCTTCACGCCAGGACTGCCAGCGATGCGCATGCGCGCCTGGCACTTTTCACCATCGGCTCTGGTGCTGCCCATCCTTGGACGACTACCGCGAGCAGGCCGTGGACAACGCTACGCTGCCCGCGGGGGCCTTGCCCGCCCGCGACTACGCGGGCATTCGGCACTTTGATCGTGGAGCTCGCGCCGCACAGCTGCTGGTCACTGGGCATGCGTTCACGGACGGGTCGTGCCGCAATCTCCTTTACTGGGACGCTGCGTCGAGAGCGGGATGGGGTTTCGTGATGGTCGGCGACAGCAGCTGCCGTGGCGCAGCGTTCGGCCCTCTGCCACGGCCGAGGCAGACGTCGGCCCGAGCTGAGCTGCACGCCATCCTACAGGTGCTGGTCGTTGGCGTGGCTCCGCTGAACGTCTGCACGGACTACCTCCCCTTTTTTGATGGCATCGTTCGAGGCAAGCGGTGCTGCACGGCCGCTACGCGAGGCAACGTGGACCTGTGGAAGTGGCTATGGCACTACATAGTGGAGCACGGCGGCGTGGATGCTGCTACGGATGGAGCGCTCGCCCCCCTCACTTTCAAGCGCGTGCGCGGCCACCAGACGAACGACACGTGGGAGAGCAGGTGCGACGATCTGGCGGACCAGGCGGCGAAACGCGGGCGCAGGCTCCAACTTGCCAGACCGCATCGCGCAGCACCACGCGCGCGCCCTGGACCGCCTGCGGCAGACGGCCTCACGGATCGCCTCCGCGTTCAAACTCCCGTGGAATGGTGCTGTGGCAGCCGGCAGGGTGGAGCTGGCGAGGCGCCGCCCTGCTGACCTCCGATGCCGCTGGCGAGAGCAGGGAGGTCGCCCCGCAGCGGAGGCGCGGCCGCGCGCAGCCGCCAGCACCGCCTGCACCTGACGGCCCTCGTGCGCCGCCGCCTGCGGCACGCCTGGGCCCTCGCGGCTTGCCCCGCCGCCGCCGCCACCTGAGCACTGCCACCGCTTCCGCCGCCAAGGCAAAGGGTGGTCGTGCGAACGCTGCCCCGCTTTTGCAGTCACGGTCGGAGGTGCGAGGGCCCTCAGGCTCCGCACGTACAGAGTAGCCGAGGCGGCGGCCTTGTGGGGCCCTGGTTCTTCGCCGAGGGTCGCGGACGTTGCGCCGCTCGCTGGGGTGCCCCAAGCGCTTGCTGGAGCCCCGACCCACTCCCCGTCCGCTTGTGACGGCACTGATGTGGCCGAGGTGGGACTCCCAGGAGCCTGAGCCTGATGCAGGGCCGCCTTCCTCGGTCTTCGCAGTGCCTGAGCGGCCCATGGCGTTTAGTCAGGTGAGGTTTCGCAGCGAGGCCGAACAACGAGATCGGGACCTCAAGGACGCGTGCAGGCCCACAGCGAAGGCCGCGCGTGTGCAAGGCTCCACGGAGCCTCCGCATTCTCCCTCCCCTCCGAGCAGGAGTCAGGCGAGGAGTGGGGGGGAGTGTACGGGTGGCAGAGATGAGGCCTCGGGGGGCCCGCCCTTGAAGGCGCCGCGGGTTGTTGCCCCAGCCGCCCCGCCCAGGCCTGCCAAGATGTCTGGGAGTCCCAGGGGGCAGCCGCCCCCCAAGAGTGACAGGGCTCCTGGGGGCCAGCGGCGGAATCCGTCCCTCCACCTCCTTCTCCCCGCTCAGGGCCCCGTTGGGACTGGTAGTGCCAGAGGTCATGTCATCATCCTTGCTGGGCCCACCCTTGCATTCTGCCGTCGTTGTGAGGCCAGGACCAGCCGTCGGCCTCAGGGTCTCGGCTATGGGGTGCGTGCTCCAGTCTTGCATCCAGCAAGGATTCGACGTATCTTCGGGACATCGAGCTGGGCAAGGACCCCACATTCGGGGGAGTGGAGGGGCGAACCCCTCCGTTTCTGGCTCCCCGTTTCGCCCCAATTGTCTTGCCTGTCATTGTCCCGCTCTCGGCGCACCTGACTGCCATGGCGGTGCCTCCTCCTCCTCCTCCTCCTCCTCCTCCTCCTCCTCCTCCTCCTCCGTCATCCTCCTTCCTTCCTCCCTGAGGTGAAGGACATGCGGCTGCAAAAAAAAATCCCTCCGCCCTGCCTCCCTCCGCCCCCCCCGGACTCCTCCTTCCCCTCCCTCCACTCGCTGCCCCCCCCCCTCCCTCCATCCATCACTTCGCTCTCCTCCCCGCGAGGCGAAGTCCGCATGAAGAATTTCCACGCATCGTCGTGGCCGCCCGGAAAGGGCCATCTGATCCAGCCGTCGATAGGGATGCTGGCCTCCGCGTCGCTGACGGCCGCACGCTGCCTGCGCCTCGCGGCGGGCATGAAGCCCCGGTCGTGCCAGGAGAACATTGGCACTACGAACACGCCGGCGGCGACCTCTCGGCGGCGAGCCCAGGAGGTGTTCGGGCGTCTTCGTGGTATCCCGGCGGCTTTCCAGCCTCGGGGTGCTCTCCAGCAGCTGCGCCTCGCCGAGAGCGCTCTGGGGGTGCCCGAATCGTCCCGAGCGGCCACCAGAGAGCCGAGCTATGGTTCAAAAACCACCCAACGTCCGAGAGGGGGCAGACCCTTTCAGAAGACGGCGGGGCTTCCCGGAAGCTCTCGCGCCTTCTGAGGAGCCGCCTGTGGCTTCGGAGAAGACTTGCAGGGCCTTTCCCAGAGGGCGCAAGGGCTTCTGAGAAGCCCCGCCGCCTTCTGAGCGGGCATGCCCCCGCACGCTTCCCCCCTGGGCTCGCCGCCGAGCCTCCGCCGGCGCCACCTCCACGCCCAGCTCGTCACACACTTGCAGCACCTCCAGGAGCTTGGAGACGGAGTCCACCATGGTGCGCTCCTCCTCCTTCACCTTTTCTCCTTTGATGATGGATCCAAGCGTCACTCGGCGAACCCACAGGTCGTGGTTCCCCGGCACGTAGAAGACTCTGCGAAACTTGCTCTTCAGCACCGTCAGGGCGAACTTCAGGCTCGGCAGGGAATCCGCCAAGTTCCTGCGAAATAACCAGGTACCGATACCGCGTCTCCTCCCTGGCCTCTCCAGGCGGGTTCTCCTGGGATGTTGGTTCTGGAATCCATTTCGAGGCGAATCCAGCCGTAGCGTCGAGGGCCTCCCAAGAGGCCCAAAAGGGCGAAAACGAGAGAAGGAGATAGCGGTATCGGCACCTTTTCCGCCTCCGAGCTCCCAGCCAGCATGAGCACGTCGTCCCTGAAGAACGTGGACGACAAGCTCTTGCACCACTCGGGCGCGCCGTGCTGGTCGAAGAACACGTCGCTCAAGGCCCACACACGGAGCAACTCCGGCGGCCTCTCCCGGTCCTGGGCCACTGGGAAGGGGGGCCATGACTGCGGTGAGGGCATGGGAGATGAACCCTTGGATGAGGAATCCAGGGCCCGGAAGCCAGTGAAACTCAAACCGTGGATTGGGCACGCATGCAGTCGGGCTGCTGACATAGGGAACGCGAAATAGGGAACGGAAGCCCCCTCTTAGGCACCTGCAGATCCTGGGTGCATGAGGAGGGCTGGAGGAACAACCGCGGAATGTCCCAATGAACAGCGAGCCCCTTCCGAACCCAAAGCGGGCCTTACCTCAGCGAGTTGGCTGTACCACCGCGACCTCCTCAGAGCAGGAATCCTCCAGGGTCGAAGCCTCCTGGGCACACTCCTTCACCAGCGCCGCCCACCCTGAGCAGGTCACGAGGGTGCCTGGCGACGCGCGGGAGGGGGTCCGAATCTCCGGCCTTCTGTGTTGGCAATCCAGACGGCCTTTCCTCGACTTCAGTCGGCTACACGTAAGAGTGGCCCTAAGCAAGAGAGACCGTTGGTGCGCGACTTTCGAGGGCCGCGGAGCGCTCAAGCCGCTGTTATCACATCGCATTCAGCCATCTGGGGACCCCAGTGTGCCCGCACCGAAGGTCAATCCGGCGAAAAGTTACTCCTTACGTTTAGCCGGTTCAACCTCTGGGTCCCGGATTTGCGACGACAGGCTATACCCCCCAAGGGAGGGCTCGGGACCTCTGGAGCCGCGCATGGAAAAAACCATATCGTCGCATGTCTGGGAGTGACGGAAGGTGGTGGAGGGCTTCTAAGGTGGGGGATATTCTTGAAGGCAGGGGCATTCTCAGAAGCGCCAGGACGCTTCTCGGACGGCTCCTTCCCAGACATGCGACGTTTTTTTTGTTTGCTAATACGGGGTACCTGGGAGTCCAGACCCTTTCCCCGGGACCTGTTTTCTTCACCTGAGTCGTTTTTTGAAGGTCCCCAGACCCGGCGAGGGCTGCCAGAGGCCGACAACGGCCAAAAACCTCAGGCGAGCATGGCTGGGTTGGAAGATGGAAGCTCCTGCAATGTCAGAAGCCGCCTGCCTTCACAGATGCCGACCCCCATTCGCCTTCTCAGGCGGCCGCCCCCCTCTCGCGCCACCCCCCCTTGAGTGTGCGTCGCCACGCTGTACCAGGCGACTGCCACCGGCCGCGACTGCGCGCTTGCACTCGCTGCTGCTGCTGCTGCTGCTTCTTCTCGTGCTCTCTCCCCCCTGCTGCTGGCGGCGAGCAGGAGGGGGGGGGAAGTGAGAAGGAGAAGGCCTTCTCGGAAGGCTCAGAAGTCCCCTGGCCTTCTGAGAAGCCCCCCTGAGTCTTTCACGAGGACGCAGAACACCTCTCAAAGGCCGAAGAGCTCCTGAGAAGCCCCCGTCGCCTTCTGAGAAGGCTGTTTCCTTCCCACCTCCACCCCTCCCTCGCCGCCGATTCTCCCTTCCCGAGTCCCAGGGCGCCTTCTCGAGCTTGCTAACAAAAACGCGAGGGTGCACCGCAGGGTGAGTCGCGGGTGTCGACCGCTCTGGTGGTGATCCCCTTCGGTGACGGCCGCCTCCGTCAGAGGGCCAGTTGAGACACCAGCGACTTCCCCGCCCGGCCCACATTCACCCCACATGGGTCCCCAGACCCCTCCCAGGATCCGTCCTGGCCCGTTTTGCGAGGCGGGCCCAGCCGTGACAACAAGGGAACCGCCATTATCTCGACTGGCCCTCCTACGACTTCCCAGCATCAGAGGAGCATAAACGAAAACCACGCGCACGCTTCGCGCGCATCGGTTCTAGCAACCATCGACACGATCACAGCTGCATGCCTAACAACCACTGGTGGAGGGAGAGGGGGTGGTGACATTCGACGTGCTTCATTAAGTGCAAGAGATCATCTGTATCTGTGAAAATATATGTGAATCTATACGTAGAGGTAAACCTGACATCCGCTGGCGCGCCAGGTCCCACGCTACGACGGTCCCATGACCTGGCCCCGCACTCACAACATCACACAAGTGTGGGGAGAGGTGACAGAGAAACATAGTACGATACGAACGGTAGCGACCCCAAAATTCTCTTCGGGACCTCGCGACAGTTTCTTGGGTCCTATGGGAAAATGTCCTGGCTACCTCCAGCCGTCTTCGGCCTGTCCAAGAGCCCCGTGGCCGCATGCTAGAGGGAACGTGTTGGGGTCTCTCAGGATCCTCTTGGAGCCGTGCGGCCCCTGGTGGGGGGGCGTCTGGTCCCCCCCAGGGCCGGTGCTCGCGTACGTCACATACAGGAACCCTCGCGCGTGCTCAGGTTCTACCTGTCTTGGGTCCAAGCGTAGAGCGCGGAAACGGAACAGTAACAAACAAAAGGGAACCGTGGATTTCGAAGCGGGAACGGGGGCTCAGGGAGGCCACAGCGCAGATCCAAGAGATCCGCGCGGGGCTCCGAAAGCTAACGTTTACGCAGCGTCTTCCTCCCTAGTGTCTGGCACCCAGGAGGTCCAGCGAGAATCTCGCCCACCGCCTCGCCGCGGCCGGGTAATCCCAGTTGAGCATGCGGGCGAGGCAGCTGCTGAGGCCAGCGGCGGCGGCGCCGCCGCCTTGCGCGCCCCCCTGCGCCTGAAGGCGCCGGGCCCTGGCGAAGTGCTGGTAGGCGGACTTGAAGTCCTCGCGGCGGCGAGGCCACGCCGGAGAGGGGTGATCGAGCTTCGAGGATCAGGTTTCGAGCGTCGAGGCTTTGGGGCGTTCTGCCCTTTCGGGGCCTCCTGGGAACTTCTCGTCGGCACCGCTGGGTTCCTCTCGAAAGTCTGGCCTGGGTGCACGCCACGATGCGCTCGGGGGCCCAGGCTCGATTCACGGGTCCAGGCACCCTCGCGTCGTGACAAAAATCACGACGCACGAGGTCTTGAGATGTTCTGCCTCTGGGAGCCCTCGCCGTGCCCTGGGCCCGACAAATAGAACCTCTGGATGGAAAACGGGTCTTGGGGAAGGGGTCGAGACCTGTGGGGGTCGAAGTTGTCAAAAGACATGACATCAAGGGATTGGGGGGTCTCGGGGCAGGCCTGTGGTTTTGTTCCTTGTTTTTTGTCTGCGCCCGCGGCGGCGAACTCCCGCACCGAGACCGTCAGCTCGCGCCGGCGCCGGGACAGAGAGCTGGCCACCTCGGAGACGTCGATGGCGAACGGGCAAGCGATCCGCGCGGCCTCGGCGCCAGGCGCGCCGATGACGAGGCAGCCGGCGGAGGCGTCGAGCGCGACGTCCTCGGCCCGGCTGAACGCCGCGCAGCGCACCCGCAGCGTGGCCGCGCGCCTCCCCAAGCTGGTTTCGCGGGGGCCGGCGGCCTCGGAGCCGACCGCGCCGCTGTCCCACGCCCACTCGACGGGGCACGCCGCCCGCGCGGGCGCGTCGCCAGCGGCCTCCGCGGCGGCGCGGGCCGCCGCGGGCATCCGGGCCCCCACGAGCCGGCCCCACACGGCGAGCCCGGCGCCAAAGGCCGCGGCGGTGGCGAGGCGCGAGGCGGCCGCGGCGGCCGCCAGCGCGGCCCCAGGGCCGAGCTGGGCCTGCGTGAGCAGCGCCTCGCCCAGGACCTGCAGATGCACGTTCGAGTGCGGCAGCACTGTCGCGGCCGCCCGCTCGGCACGGTCCCACGCCGCGGCGCTTTCGCCCGGGCGCCCGTCCAGTCGCAGGCGCCTGGCGAGCTGCGACAGGGCTGGCACCAGCGGCCACCACAACCACGGCTCCGCCTCAGGGGCCCCGTCCAGGTGCTGGTGCCGATAGGCGGCGAGCGCGGATCTGGCGCAGCACTCCGCCTCCGCCACGATGCTCTCCAGGTGTGAGGTGCGTGCGGGCCCCGCCTGGGGAACCGCAGGCACCTCGCAGCTGTAGAGGCGCCGCCACGGGCCCAGGCCCTCACCCGCCGCGGCCTCGGCGGCGGCCTCGAAGGCGCATCGCGGGCAGGCGCAGCGGAACCCGAAGAGGTCTCGCAGCTCCCGCTGCCGCATCTCGAGCGGCATACGCACGTCGCAGTAGAACTGCACCAGCTCCTCGCCGGGCGCTATGTCCCGCGCTGCCCGCAGCACGACCCAGTCGCCAAGCAGTACCTTGGAGGCGTTCGGCACGCACGAATGGTTTACCAGCGAGCCTAGGGGGAAAAGGCCGTACACCGCGTGGCGCTCGGCCTCCGTGCGCGGCGCCTCTGACGGGCTCGAACTGAAGACGTACTCGCTGACGGGAGGGGAGCACCGGTAGGCGTTGAGTCTCACGATCTGCTCCAAGCGGTCCAGAGAGACCGCGCACGCCCCGTCCTTGAGAGCCCCAGGCCAGCGGCTGAGCGGCACGGGACGATCAACGGGGTCGAGCGCCTCCCCGTCGCACATGAGGGCCAATTGCTGCCGGGCCCTCGAGTCCAGCGAGCTCTGGGCGGAGGCCAGCGCGTGCGCTAACGCCGGCTCCCGCGCAGTCGCCACCGCCCTCTCCGCAAGTAGTAGTTCGCCTGCGCGCACGGGTGCGGTGACGCGGACGCCTCTGCCCTTGCCCTCAAAACTGAGCACTTCGAGCACCTCAGAAGTGTGCGCCGAGAGGCCAGAGGTGTCGCCGGCCTTCCATACAGCACCCCAGTCGACGAGGTCCGACACCATCTCAGCGGCAGCAGCTTTTGCAATGCAATATACAATATACTGCTTGAGCGCTCGAGCCAAAATGGCTACGGGGCCTCACGCAGGTGGGGTGCGAGCAGACGGGGTCGGAGGGTCGCGCTGCATCGCCGATGCATCGCCGATGTAATTATCGCTGGTCCGTCGGCGAGGCATCGGCGATGCGTCGGCGCCGTTTGCGTGGAGAACATCGGGCTCGACGTCAAGCCGAATCGCCGACGCATCGGCGATGCGACGCGAGCCTTCAACCCCATCCGCTCGGACCCCATCTGGGAAGCCTGGGCGTGGACCCCCCAGCTGGCCTCAGCAGGCCCCCAGGGTGGCGCGATGGTATGGATGCGTGCGAGCGGGAAGAAAGGTCGAAGTCGGCGGCGTCCGGAAGGGAGGGCGCGGGGAACCTTAGGGTTTCGTGCCCCTCGATGGCCCCGAATCTGGCCAAAGCTGGCGCGCCAGCCTTACCTGAGGGGCCCTCTAAATCCACCGCATATCCTGGGCGCGCGAATCGACCGAAGTTTCGAGTCGAATCCGCCCTTGGCGACGAGGGTCCCTGAAAACATCATAAACATACACTTTCGGAGCTCTGCGCGGAATTCTTGGATCGGCGCTGGACCCTCCTGCCTGGCGCGACCCCAGAAATCCGCGTGGACCTCAGACAAAATCTGTTTGCGCATTTGTTGTGAGACGGAGGAGGCCGAACGGTCTTACACCGTCCATGGGTGCGTGGCTGAAGTGGCGTTCCGTCGAACAGACTGTGTGTGCTGTTCAGTGCTTTGTGGTCGTCGTCCCCCCCCCCGCGACCCACCCGCAACCCACCCCGCGGTCTACCCCGCAACCCACCCACGCTGTTGTCTATCAAGAATGGGCGCCTGCGGAGGGCTCGCTGTGAAACATGCGCAACCAAGAACTCGGCGCCTGCGGCGGGTTTCTTGAGAACCTCGCAGACTGCCGACGACCCCGCAGCCCCCTTTGATCTTATCAGCAATTCAGAAGTGCTCCGTAATTCGGACGAGGGCCCCCGAAGGCCGCAGGAAACCGGCGAGACCCTTGCCTGGACCTCTCCTGGGATGCTTTTTGACTAGAAGTTCAAAGCAAATCTGGCCGTGGCGACGAAAACCCCTCCCTGGACCTCTCCCAGGGTGCTTTCTAACTAGAATTTTAAGGAACATCCAGCCGTGGCGACGAGGGCCTACCAGGAAGCCCAAAACGCGAAAACGACTCAAGGGTAACGGTATTGGCACGTATTCCTCTCCTGCGTTCCTCTTGCGTTTCCTCCTCCTCCTCCTCCTCCTTCTCCTCCTGCTCCTCCGTAGCCATGTTGGTTCAAGCCATTTTGGCTCAAGAGCCTGTTCGCCTGCCCAGGCTGAGCTGGCCGCGGTTCTTCTCCTCTCATGTCCGATGCAATGGCGGAGGCGCTGCGCGGCGCTGTGGTCCGTGCGGGCGGCTCCCGCCAGGTGGTGGCGGCCACGGCGGTCGCCCTGTGGCGCGCGGGGCGTGCTGCGTCTACCCAGGAGGCTGATGAGAAGGAGGTCCTGGAGGAGGTGGAGGCCAGGATCGGGATGATCAAGCCAGTCATCGCGGCGAAGGTCCGCGCAGCGCACGACGTGGAGCCACTGAGCCTCACCTGGGCGAGGATAAGGCCATCAGGAACGTGGCCGAGCATGCGCTCTTTGGGGAAGGAGCGGAGGCCTTGCCGAAGGATGGCAAGGAGGCGAAGCGGCGGCAGAGAGGCAGGCAACGTGCTGGCGCGGCCCTCCGTGCAGCCGCCAGCAGCAGCCTAGTCTCGGGCGAGGATTGCCGCGAGCGGGAGACGAAGTTCGAGGACGGCTGCATCCAGAAGGAGCAGCTCGAGGAGGAAAAGGACAAGGTGAAGTAGGCGTGGAAGCAGCAGGAGGCCGAGTGGGACGGCCAGAAGGAGTCGAACCTCCCCGACACTGGGTGCGAGGGCACCGTGGGGGAGGCCTCCTCCAAGGTGGAGAATATCGACGAAGTCACGCGCGCGTGCTCTCCGACCACCAGTGCGGCAGGGCGGGGCAAGAGACGCTCCGCGACATCCAGAAGTGGGCCATGGAAGTCATCACCTTGGAGGCGCAGCTCGCGAGCGCCAATGAGGCCCAGGCCATCCAGGAGGCTTTCGACAAGGGCTACCTGGACCCGAGGACCTTTCTGAGCGACGAAGACTGCAAGACCGAGCAGCCTGACTAAGACTCGGCCGAAGCGCTCTTCGGCCAGAACGAGGTGCTGTACTCGGCTGGTCCAGGCGGTGGGCGTCCGCTTTTCCCCTGGCGACCTCGGCTCCGGTATATGGTCGCTCTACTTCTGGCGGTGGGGGAACGTAACCCCCGTCGGCGTGCTCGGCGTGGACGGCTGAGCGGCGGCCTGCCGACGCGGAGGATCGTGCTCCTCCTGCGTGCAGGCCAGAGAGTGGACGGCACGAGGTGCCCATTGGCTAATCCCAGACCAATCCTCCTCCTCCTCCTCCTCCTCCTCCTCCTCCTCCTCCTCCTCCTCCTCCTCCGCCTCCCCGTGCCGAAGGTGTGCATGGCTCCAGTCTGGTGTTTTCAGGGAGGACGCACGGGGCGCCCTGTTAGGAGATGGGGGATCTCCGAAGAGCACCTCCCCTGAGCCCACTGGGGTTTCGCCACCAGGGCGACACAGGCCAGCAGGTTGTCGATCGGTATGTTTGTTCGACATATGCATTTGGACATGTTCATGGGAATGATCTCAGGCCATATCTCAAGGGCAGAGCGGAATGCACAAGCTAAGGGCAAGAGGGAAGGTCGAGAGTGGGATGGGGCGAATTCCATTCCCCAGCCACGCCGGGGGGGGGTATGAAAAGCGTGGGCTGGGGCGAATTCCATTCCCCAGACACGCCAGGAGGTGGCATCTGGGTAGGTTTGTCGAGCGTGGGCTGGTGCGAAATAGTGCCATAGAAACTGCAGCAATGTCTGCCTGGCACCTGAGACGCCCATCACCTCACCCAGCGGTGAATGATTACATGTGCAACTGCCAGATCAAGGAAAGAAGGTCGCCCTAGGGCTGTTGTCAACATCATCT